GCATTTCCATTGTCCATTTATCAGTTGATGGATGTGGTGGTTTAAATTAAAATGGCCCCCATAGCCTCACAGGGAGTGGCAGTATTAGGAAGTGCCACATTGTTGGAGTAGGTGTGGCCTTATTGGAGGATGTCTCTGGGGTAAGGCTTTGAGGTGTCAGATGCACAAGCAGGACCAGTTTCATTTTCTTGATGTCTTAATGATCCAGATGTAGAACTCTCAGCTGCTTCTCCAGCACCTTGTCTGCCTGCATGCCATCATGCTTCCAGCAATGACAATGGACTAAACCTCTGAAATGTACGCCAGCCCCAATTAAGTGTCTTCCTCTATAAGAGATGTTGTGGGCATGGTGTCTCTTCACAGAAATGGAAACCCTAGCTAAGACAATGGATATACAAATTAATTCAGTTTCCTAGCTTGTGACTGATGCAGCAGTGAACATGGAGGTGTAGGTGACTTGTTAGTAGGACATAAAGGCCTTTGATTATATACCCAGGAGCGGCATGTATTGAGTAGAGTTCAATAAATTTCCTATGTTGTCCAGGACAGTCTTCCTTAACAAAATATAATCAGACCCAAAATATCAATAGTGCCAAGTTAAGAAATCCTACTGTAGTTATAATTAGAGAAAAGAAGGTTTTGTGTCTTAAACCCTTTTCTATTTTAGAGTAAGATTCATTTAACTTAAAAGTAAGTCATATTAAGTGGTATTTGCTTCCTTAGTAATCTTTTGGTATGTGATTTAAGGACAGGCACTGAAATTATGCCTGTATTGGAGATAAATGATTAGGATTTTAAAAATATGGGCATAAATCAAGAAGAAATTTAATTAGAGCGAGTGAAGTAGTTTCAGTAATACAGCCATCTACAAAATAAATAATATAAAAATCAATATCTTCACCATGTTTAGGCAATAGTTGTTGGGAAATACAGCTGAGAAAAGGCCCATTTACAATTTCAGCCAAAATTATGAAATACCCAGAAATAAACTTTTGAAAAAACTACAAACTTAGTGAGACATATAAAAGCTACACCTAAGAATGAACAGGACCACTGTATTCACAGACTTGATAATATCAAAAGAAATTTACTACTAAATTAATTTATAAATCTAATGCAATTCTGGTGAAGTGATGGTTGTTCTTTGGGAAGAAGGAAAGGAGCATAAAACTTGAAAAGATTCTAAAATTCAAATGGAAGAATAAATGCATGAGACCTGCCATTCTTGATGTTTTCTTAGTCAAGAAATGGTAGAGTGCTTTTGGGAAAATAGGCATAAGTTGGTGATCTTTCTATAAGTTTAAATGGTATATAATGTGAAAATAAATAATTCTAGGGCCATAATAATTGAGCTTGTATTATGTAACAGGCAGAGGAAGAAAAATAATCGGTGAAATATTTTAAGCCACAGAAATAAACCCGTGTGTATGAAGGTAGCATTTCAAATCCATAGGGGAAGAGAGTGAAATAATGAATAAATGAATTGTAATAGCTGGCTAACTGTTGTTTGCTTAAAATATTAATCATAAGAAATACTGCATGAATTAAAGATAGAAAATAGAGTACATAAATATTTTAAAGGTGTAGGTGAATTTGAAACTGTGTAAGTAATATTTCCCATAGTGGCTGTAAGAACATGTACTTATTTCTAATTTGTAAATAATTCAGGCAAACAGTATCAAAATAAAGCTATAAATACTACAAATATATGTACCATACCCTTGTGCACTGCAGCCGTCTTTGTTTTCTATACCCAGCTAACCACTGTCACAGTGTTCTTCCTTCCAGAGACTTCCAGTGACAAAGAAAACCCCTGTGTTCTTAGACTTCCACCTTTAGAAATTATGATTATTATAGTTGTTATGTGTGTGTGTGTGTGTGTGTGTGTGTGTGTGTGTGTGTGTGTGTGTAAGAGAGAGGGGGGGCTGAGGAAGGGAGGGAGAGAGAGAGAGAGAGATGGGGTTAGCACACATGTCATGGCTTATATGGAGTTTAGAGAACATTTCTTGAGTCCATTCTCTCCTTCTGCCTTTAAATGGGTTCCGAGGGTCAGAACCCAGGTTCTCAGGCTTGCATCATCTTGTGGCCCTGAGATGTACCAGCAGCTTCAGCCTTCCATCGGTTTTTAGACGTAGATAATATGTTTTGTATACTAGTGTGCACCTTGTTTTTCAACTTGTAAATTTTATAGTATACTTATTTAAACCATTTTGAGTTCATTTGACATCATTGAGAGATTCTTTAGTATCTTTTTAATATCATCATAGTATTCCATGATCCAGACATACTAAAAATGTGTACATCCACTCCCTTGGTGATTGATATATTAGTTTGCTGTTTTGCCAATACAAGTAGTAATGTAGTACATGTCATTTTATTACATTTATTTATTGTTCATGTACTTTTGTGTGCTGTGGCACCTCTGTGGAGGAGAAAAGAGGACAACTTAGGGGAGTCCATTCTGTCCTTCCATCAAGTGCCTCACCCCATCATGTGGAACCTGGATACAGATTTCAGGTCTTAGGCTTGGTGGCCAGCATGGCAACCATTTTCACCAGCTTAAACACCTTTCTGGCCCTGGATATCATCTTATGTGACACTTCACAAGTACACATTAACATCTTACATGTTTATTGTGATAAAATATATACTAAAAAAATAGTCTGGGCAGTGATGCCACATGCCTGTGATCCTAGCACTCAGAGAGGGAGATGCAGGGGGATCTCTGTGAGTTTGAGACCAGCCTGGTCTACAAAGCGAGTCCAGGGCAGCCAGGACTACACAGAGAAACCCTTTCTCAAAAGAACCAAAAACCAAAATAAAACAAAGCAAAAACAACAACAAAAAACCCAACAAACAAAAAACATCAGCACTTTAAGTGTAAAGTTAGTCACTTGTAGGTAGTTTTGTCACATAAAGTGCATTCTTTATGGATAAATTTTAGAAGCATTTCTATTACAAATAATAGATGCATTTTAATATTTATAACATTGACCATCTATTTTCCACAGAAACCACGCCATTTTACATTCTCATTAGAAATTCATGGGGCTGTGTGTTTTATTTTTTCTTGATGTCCTTTATTGAGTGTGTTAGTTTTTGAGTTCTTGTCATCTGTTATGTGAAATTGCTCTCAATGTAAGGATAATTTGTAGTTTTCTTTTAAAAATAAGATTGAACACTTTTTCTTATGTTTAAGATAGAAAGACTTTGTAAATGTGATATGCAGACCTAGACTAGATCATAAAGGAAGAAAAAAGGATAGAAAGATTTGGCCACTTCTAGAGTAGTAACAAAATTAAAGGCCATTGACAAACTGGGGTGGGAGAATTTTTACAGCATATGGCAGAATAAATAGTCTTACTGTTTCATGTTATTAAAAAAAATCATTACGAAGAGTTGAAGATGTTCCCTTCTCTTTCTGGTTCGTTGAGTGTTTTTATCATGAAAAGGCAGTGCATTTTTGTCAAATGCTGTTTTTTTTTCCTTCTCCTGAGATGATAATGTGTATTTTAATAACAGTATAATTGACATATAATTCACATCATGGAATTCACTCTTTAAAATTGTACAATTCAGTGGTTTTTTAATATAGCCACAGAGTACATAACTATCACCAGCATGTAACTTGAGAACATTTTCATTATCCCTAAAAGAAACCCTGTAACCAGTTAGCAGTCACCCTCCATTAAACCCTCTCCCCCTCCATCCTGCAGCCCCTAGAAACCGCTAATAAACTTTTTGTCTATGGCTTTGCCTATTCTGGACGTTTCGTATAATTGAAATCATGTAACACTTTGCCTTTTGTGTCTTTTTTTCTTCATTTAGCTTACTAGTTCCAAGATTTTTTTTCATGGTATAGCATAGTTAAAGATTTCCTGACTCTTTAAATAATCTTTAAATAATCATAGTTTCATGGTATAGCATACTTAACTCTTCCTTGTTATCTCTGGTAGACTAGAGGACTGGGAGCCTGACTTCTTGCTGTCATAAAGCTACGTGTCAACTTTTAATTCTTGACCACCAAATACTCAGCTTCTAAGAGGAAATCCTTCAGCTGAAACTGCTTTATGTTCTGTTTCACATAAAGTCACTTCTTTGTGGGGGAGTTTGGGAGCTCTCTATTCTTAGGAGCAGCTGTTATCTCTGGGGCAAAAATCTTTATTTGAGGCAGTACATTGGGTGCCGGGCAGTGATAACAACCACTCATCTTGATGGCCTCTTCGCATGGGGAACTTAGAGCCGCAAATAAGCTTAGGCAAGGGAATCAGAGTGGAGTGATTGGATCTCTACTTTTCTCGGCCCTTTGTGTCATGGAGTGTCTGTCCTAGGCATGGGAACTGGCTAAAAGAAACATGTCCCTGAAGCTTTGGCTTTACTCACCAGGAATCTTGCCCTTCATATCCGTGTTGGTGGTGATGAGAATGCCGGCTGCTTGCCTTCTCATGGAAAGCTTGTCTCCCTTGATTGAGGGCCAAGGCCAGAGGGCATTCAGTCTTCTAAGCCATTCTTATCTGGAGTGTTACTTTTACAAAGTCAAGGAAGAGGATGGGAAGAAGACAGTGAGTTATGGCTCGTATGCCATATGAAGACCGTCACTGTTAGATCACTGACTTCTAACAGATGTTCTTGAAGAAATGTTCCTTCATTCACTGTATACCCTTAGAATAATTTCCAGCACTTTACAGTCTTTAAAAACCATGTTTACCAGTTTCAGATAGTTTCACAGGAGTTCTTATTGCTGACCTTCCGGGGAGGGGATGCTTCTCATCTGTTTACTGTTTCAACTGAGGTCGCTAGGAGGCTCTGAGCAGGCAGTACTGAAGAGCATTTTTAAAATAAGGCTTTTACTATTTCTTTTAATATAAGATATTTCATTTGTAGTACTTGCTTTTCCATTCTTTGTTTTTGTTCCCCTGTCTAAATGAATCTTGTACTGGTGTATTCTTTTTGGAGAATTATTTTCAGTCACTGCATTTTACTTATTACTCTGTTCTTAGGTTGCTTCCAGCATCTACTACCGTGGTCATCACCAACACTTCAAGGACTATGATGTTCTCTGGAATGTCACACTTTCCTGCCTACATGGCTTCCCAGGGACTTGCATGTAAGTTTTATTGATTTGAAAGAAATCACTCTTCTTTCCCATGAGCCCACTTAACTCCATTTCTCAAGAGAAGCTATAGATTTCCCGAATCTTTAATCACTATGCTTTAATTCATTTATGACCGTTGATGTCAGTAGTAGCTTTGCATAAAGCTCATTATCATGGCTTTAGCTGTGAGGCTTTATTTTTTTTTATTATTATTATTATCATGGTTAATGTCTTAGTTACCTTTAAATCACTGTGGTAAGACATTATGCCCAAGACAGCCTCTAGAAAAAAAGAGTCTGTAGGGGTTTGATTACAGTTTCAGAAGGTGAGAGTCCATGACCATCATGTCAGGGAGCATGATAATAGCAGGCACAGCACTGGAGCAGTAGCTGAGAGCTTACATCTGACCCACAACCACAAGACAGAGAAAGAGAGCTGAGAATGGCATTGGCTTTTGAAACCTCAAAACCCACTCCCAGGGACACACTTCCTCCAACTAGGGCACACCTCCTAATTCTTCTCAAACTATTCCACCAACTGAGAACCAAGTATTCAGTTATATAGGAGTCTATGGAGGGTAATCTCACTGAAGCCACCACATTAAATATGGTCTAAAATGATACATTTAGCATCTACTTCATTAACAATATGATGTTTTGAGATAACTATTAAGAAGAAGAAAGGGAGCTGGAGAGATGGCTCAGCCATTAAAGGCTAAGCTCACAACCATAAATATAAGAATAAGAAGGGAAGCTTTCCAAGTACACCTGAATGGAAAAAAATCCTTAATGTGTTTGTGACTAATCCAAAAAAGATAAGTGTTGGAACCTTGCTATAGTGAGTTCTTATGCACATGCCCAGTTCATGCTCTTTGTATTTTATCTTCTGGAACTCTGAGATTCATTGCTTCTTCTGGTACTAACTGAAATATTATTGCTACTCAAATATGCCAGAACTAGTTTACACCTTTAAAAATAATATGGAAAATAAATAAAAATACCAGACAGAAAAAGGTTACAAAGACAGAATCATAGCATTTGAATAAGACTGGAGATTCCTTTACATTTATGCTGACAGGTATTACTTCTTCCATGTCACTCAATGTTTGAGAATCAGATTCTGATCTACCCTGTCTAGATAGAGCTTTTTATGTCGGGTCCTCTCATAAGCCAGTGGCAAATGGGGCAGCTTCCTGGACTTCACATACTTATTGCTGGACAGCTGTACTATGAACCAGGATCAATAGACAAAGTTACCCGGAATAAAGAAGGAGTGCCTGAATCTTCCCTGAGCAGGAATGAAGTAGAAGAAGCTTTCTTAGGCTAGGCAGTCTATTTAGCAGGCACCATGATTTCTGTGTTTATGTTGTACAACCATTACCCTAAACATATTGCTAATTGGGAAAGCTACGCTAACATAAACCATTGTGTACAAGTAAAATTTGTATTACAAAATTCATGTTACATAAGAACCGCTGAATTGCAAGAATGTTTGAAACTACAGAGGATCAAGAAGAAGAAAATAATATATTTATTATATATTCCCAGTCTTCACCAGCCACAATTTTCTTGTATTGTTCTTTATATGCTTGGCATATAGTGAGGATCAATAGTGGCCTTGAAGTTATGAAAAGTAAGAGTAGATATCAGAAACAAACATAGAAAACATAGGACTTAAGCTGTGAAGTCTATTCAGATTTAATCTATAAGACAGCAAGGCATTGCAGAAAGAATATAACAACAAAAGAGTTGTAAAGGTGGTCAGGAATGTAAGCAAAATGTTTAAGAGGCTTTTGCTTGCAGGTTGTAAAAAAGGCATGCCCAGTGTTAGCTAAGAAGTACAGAAATAGCCACTTTTTTCCTATTGACAAGAATATACTTTCTTCAAAATCACTTTGGTAGGGCACTTTCACAAGACACATTAAGATTTAGAGCATGCCAGTCCGTTGATTTATTTCTTTTGTAGGAACTACTTTCTCAAGTATAGTCATGTTCTTATGCAAAATATGTACAAGGTTTCGTGTACATTGCAATATTTTTTTACATTGAAAGTTTAGTAGAACTTAGAGCAAGGAGGTCATCTGGGTCTGAAGTTCCCATATTTATGGGAAGAGTTTTGAAAACTGATAGAATTCCCCAAACGATTATAGAGCTTGTTAAGTTATGTTTTATATTTTAATGAATCTCTCCAGGAGTTTTAATTTTCAGCACGAAGGTTAATTTAGATGCCTGATGTGCAGTATATCACTTCATATTGCAATAATGTTGGGTTTAAATCCATGGCTTTGATTTCAAATTCTCACTAACAATTTTTTTTTTTAAAGAAAATCTCGAATGACTGAGGCGTTTTTTACTAACACCGTAAAATCTTCTCAACACTATCTATTTTGTTTTCTAGCTACAACTTCGACGTCTACAAGTACCACGGTTACCACCAATACCACCACCACAATGACAAGTGGCTTCAATCTGTATGTGAAAACTCCGGCATCACCTTGGGTTGATAACGCTGGCTTAGTCAGTGTGGCTTCTCTACCTGTTACCATGAGTGTAAAGTAAGCTTGTCTCTTTGGCATTTTGTGTTTGGTTTGATCACTTTAAAGACATAATTGCATAGGTAGCTTTAGACTGGTATTTTGTAAATCAGTTGTGGGAACAAGGAAAGGTTTTTTTTTTTTTTTTTTTTTTTTTAATGTTGCTCTGGAAGGCAAACAGTCAACAGGCTTCATACTGTTGTGATACAGTCTACTACTACATACAGTACTACTAACAGCTGTAATTTATGTGCAGTTTTTATGTTTAGCAAGATGGTAATACCTTAAAAATATCATATCATTTAACACTCACAATTATGCTATGAAATAAACACTATTTGGGGTCCTGTTTAATAGAAGACTGGAACACATAGAGATAAGGTAATCCTTTAATGGATGACAGAATCTTTCATTACAATAGGTTACAACCAGCTAGAATATTACCATTTGGCTGGAGAAATGGCTCAGTGGTGAAGAGCATTGGCTGCTCTTCCAGAGGACTTCGGTTCAATTCCCAGCACCCACATAGCAGCTTGCAACTGTCTGTAACTCCAGTTCCAGAGGATCTGACACCTTCACACAGATACACATGTAGTTAAAACACTAATGCCCATTAAATAAAAATAAATAGGACTCTTGCTAAAATGCTCAATTCCTATCCAGAAATGCAAAGAGGCTGGACATCAGAAGAAGGAGAAAAGAGCGAACAAGTCAGGAGCCTGAAACAGAGGACCTCTGAAAAGCTCTGCCCTGCAGACTATCAATGTAGATGCTGAGACTTATGGCCAACCTTTGGGCAGAGTGCAGGGAATCTTAGGAAAGAAGTGGAAAACAGTAAGATCTGGAGAGGACAGGAACTCCACAAGGAGAGCAACAGAACCAAAAAAATCTGAGCACAGGGGTCTTTCTTGAGACTGACATTCCAACCAAGGACTATGCATGGAGATAACCTAAGACCCCTGCACAGATGTAGCCCATGGCAGTTCAGTATCCAAGTGGGTTCCATTGTAATAGGCACAGGGACTGCCTCTGACATGAACTGATTGGCTTGCTCTTTAATTACCTCCCCCTGAGGGGGAAGCAGCATTACCAGACCACAGAAGAAGACAATGCAGCCACTCCTGATGAGACCTAATTGACTAGGATCAGAAGGAAGAAAAAGAAGTCCTCCCTATCAGTCAACTTGGGGAGGGGCATGCATGCAGAGGGTGGAGGAAGAGAGGGATTGGGGCGGGAGGAGGGAGAGAACCACAGGGGGGATACAAAGTGAATAAACTGTAATTAATATAGAAAAAAAAACAAAAAAAAACCCTTTTAAAAACAAATATTGACAGTGATTCAGTCAAGAGAGAGCTCAGTGGAGTGAGCTCAAGAGAAAGAGTGCTCAATAGAGCAGTCGCTGTTATTCCACAGGACTGGAATTTGGTCAGCACCTATATCAAGCTGCTCAGAATTGCCTAGAACTCCAGCTGCAGGGGTTCCAACACCCTCTTCTGATCTCCATGGACACCTGCACACAAGTACACATAAAAATAAAAGCAAATATTAAAAATATTCTTTTAAAAACTCATAGAACAGTTCGTCACCACAAGGGTTCCTCTTGGTGCCCTTTGATGAGCACATTTCTTCTTTTCTGGGTACTAATTAATCTGTTTTTCATTTCCGTATTCACAATAATTTAAAAATGATATACAGATGAACCATGACATTTGTGTCCTTTAAGAATTTGGCTTTTTGTTTTTGTTTTTTTTTTTTTTTTTTTTTTTAGATTTACTTATTATTCATACAACATTCTGCATTCACACCAGATCTTACTATAGATGGTTTTGAGCCACCATGTGGTTGCTGGGAATTGAACTCAAGACCTTTGGAAAAACAGTGAGTGTTCTTAACCTCTGAGCCATCTCTCCAGCCCTTTTGTTTTCATTTAGCATACTTCTTCAAGTTCCACCAGAAAGTTTGTTGCTCTCTCTCTCTCTCTCTCTCTCTCTCTGAGAGGTATTCTATTCTGGGTGTGATGTGGTTTGTTTAAGAATAGAAGTGTTAGGGCTGGAGAGATGGCTCAGTGGTTAAGAGCACTGTCTGCTCTTCTAAAGGACCCGGTTCAATTCCCAGCGCCCACATGACAGCTGACAACTGTACCACCAATTCCAAGGAATCTGAAACCTTCACAATAATACACATAAAATAAAATTAAATAAATTTTAAAAAATAAAAAAAAGAATATAAGTGTTGATAGGCATCAGATTGTTTCCATATTGGGGCTATGGAATGAACATGTGTGTACATGTGCTTTGATGAAACTAAGTCCTATGTATCTAGGGTAAATGTCCAGGGATATAGGTGCATGTCAGTGTGATATTTTTGTATTTAATATTTTTAGGTGCCAAACACTTTCTTAGAGTGACTATGGGTACCTTACAGTAGTGTGTGAGTTACCCAGATTGTCCATGTTTACTTGCTTGGTAGTGGCAATATGATACCTTTTATTATCTTTCTTACAGATGTGATCTTATGATAGTTTGCATTTTAATATCTAATGATGTACATTTTAATATCTAATGATGTACATATTTAATTATTCCTTGTATCTTCAAGAATTTAATACAATGTGCTTTGATCACATTCATCCTCTTTTCCAACTCCTCCCAGATCTACCCCAATCCTATTGGTCCAAGTTTGTGTTGTCCTTTCTTCTTTGATACACCCATCAAGACTTGTCCTAACCGTATATTATTGGATGTGTGGACTTCCTCTCCAGCTATACTCTTGATGAAAATGTACTGTCCCTTTCTCAGCAGTTTGGCTAAGGGTAGGACGTCATGCCTACCTACCCTTTCCATATTGGGGTTTGACTAGCTTGAGGTTGCACAGACCTCATGCATGTTGTCACACTGCTGTCCTTGTAGTCATCATCTACTACCTCTACTCTTTATACTCTCCATTCTGGCTGGCTATGATGTAATGATATATATTTGATAATAGTTTTGTACTTTTATATACATTTTATATGTATGCATGTGGATACATATTCTTATGTTTTGATAACATAATAACATTTAATCAATCAGTACCAATTTTACAACTTATAAAATTCTCTGGGAGGCATTCTTATTCCTGTTTTCTCAAAGAAATTGTAAAATTGGTACTGATTCATTAAATATTTCTTTAATGAAAACTACTACACCTAGATAAATCTCATGCAGAATTATTTAAATTAAAAATAAACCTATTTAATGGATCCAGAACCAGTCAGACTGTCCAGCTCATCTTTCAGGAGCTTCAGCAGCATGTTATTTTAAAGGAAAAGGTCCAAAATTCACGAGCATAAATTTGTTTATGGCCCCCCCCATAGTCTTTTTTATATTGGAGAGATATTTTTGTTTCATTTCTGACATTTGTGGCTGGCGTCTTTTTTTATATGAATTTTATTGATGTTTTTCTAAAGAACCAGCTTTTGCTTCATTGATTATTCTGTAAAACGTTCCTGTTTTCAGGTTCATTGTTATCCACTGTTAATTCTTTTCTCCTGATTATATTGGGTTTATTTTCTTTTGCTACTTTCCTAATGAATGATCTTTGAGGCATTTTCCTCTCACAGAAGCCTTTAGTGCTATAAATAGCCTCTGCACTGCTTTTCCCGCAGCCCACGTCTTTCATTATGCTCTGATTTAACTTTGAGCAATGGATTATTTGGAAGCATGATGTCTAATTTCCAAGTGTTCCAAGATTTTCTTTTTTTTTTTTTAATTAGTTGTGTTCCCTATGATTTTAGCTATTTTATATTTATTCAGTCTTTTTTCCTGTATGTGAGGAATGATCCATCTTGCAAAATGTTCCATGGAAACCTAAATATTCTGTTTTCTTTTATTGAGTGTAATGTTCTATATATGTCTCTTAGATTGTTACTGTATTTTCAGATTTTGGAGTTTTGCCATATTTCAGTCTAATTCCTTCCATTGTGGACTGTAGCTTTTTTTGAAGTTCTCAACCAAATAATTACATATTTGTCTTATTTTTGTCTCTTTAGCTTTATCAGTTTTTCTATTGATAAATTTGGAGTGATATTTATAGTTATTTTTATTTACTCTTTATTACTGCACAAAGAAATGGGCATAACTATGACATTTCCATACATATATATCATTATAATTTGCTTTTATTGGCCAACCTGCTCCTCTTCCATACTTCCCACATTCATTTCTTGTTAGTGGTCCCTTCCTGTCCCCTAAATAGTTCTGTCTTCTGTTTTCATGATCTATATTATATTTATCTTTTTCTCATGTATCTTGAGGCTTTATTGTTAGGTTGCATATACATTTAGATTGGCAGCTCTCCTTGATCCTCGATTTCTTTACTATTCTGTAGTTCCCCTTTATTCTGAATATGGTAATTTTTGTTATTCTGTAATCTATCCTATTCGATAAGAACATCATCTTTTTTTAAAAAAATATGAAAACTAGTTCTACATCTTCAGTTCTTTTACCTTTAACCTATCCATATCCTTGGAATGATTTTCTTTTTTCTGCTTTTTAAATTTTGGGGAGCAGTTTTTCAAGACAGGGTTTCTCTGTGTAGCCCTGGCTGTCCTGGTCTCACTTTGTAGACCAGGCTGGCCCTGAACTCACAGAGATCTACTTGCCTCTGTTTCCCAGAGTGTTGGGATTGAAGACGTGTACCACCACACCTAGCTATAGTGATTTCTTGTATGCCATATATTGTTGGATATTTTAAAACCACAATATCAATCATGTCAACCACTGTCTTATATTTGCTAAAGTTAGAACATTTATATGTAAAGCAGATATTGACTATCAAAGCTTGGCTATGCTCTTTGGTTGTTTGATTTTAATTTACATTCCATTTCTCCTTGTTTTTAATCTTCCCATGATTGCTGGAAATTTTCACGGAGTTTCACCTTGTTGTATATATGGTGTTTTTTACTGGTGGCTGTGGATATTAAGTTATGCATGTATAACTTAAAACAATCTATTCATATTGACATTTTTTCAGATCCATTCTCTTTTTCTGGAACTTCTGTTGCATATACTTTGATTTCTTTTATTATTGTTCTCTTATGTCCTTGAGCCTTTTTTTCATTTGCCTCTGTTTTTTCTTTGTTGTTCTGTAAATTTTAATTACCTGCCATTACATTTATTGACTGTTTTCTGCACGCTCCACTCTAGAGTCAAGCCTTTCAAGTGGGCTTGTTTTTTCAGTTATTTTATTTTCAGTTGTATATTTTCTGCTTCCTTTTTATAATCCCTATTACTTTGGTTTTTGTTTTAATTTCAAGAGGATTAAAAATTGCCCTCTTCAGACATTTTTAGTGGCTGCTTCAAAATTCTTTTCAGACAGTTCCCAAAATCTGATACCTCTTAATGTTTTTATCTGTGATGCTAGCTAGCTTTTTTCTCTTTCAAGTGGTGATTTTCCTAGTTCTTGATATGATATTGATTTTTATTGTGTCATGGACATTTTTCTATTATGTTCAGAGTGTTTGGATCCTATTTATATCTTCTTTCTTTTCATTAGATAGTCTTTTGTTGAGATTGAGTACAGAGAGTGGGTGTGTTTTTATGTTTAGCTTCTCACTGTATCTTGCCCTCAGCACCCCAACAAAATTGAGCACTGAGTCATACTGCCTCAGTGCACATGGGTGGTGTGGATGTTCAACAGTCTTAGCTCTGCTTACTCACTCCCTATGACAGTGGGGCATTGCATCATACCACTTCACTAACTCTTATAGAAATTTGAGCCCAGCTTGCAGATGTGGCCAGGAGCTCTAGATGACGACGCAAGTGATGAGCTGACTCAATACTTAATTGATATAGCTATGGGCAAAATTTCAACTACTTGGATCTTGGTAACAGTGGATTGCAGTATGTCAACTACTCTACCTCATACAACCGTATTTGACCTCATTGATACTCTATTGACATGTCAGCTTGGCCTTCTACTGCACTTTGCTGATACAAGGTTCATGGGAGAAAAGGATAGGCCTTCTTTGATCAGCCACCACTTTTGGTTTTACCAGTCAGTGTGGAGGCTAAACTCTCCACCAAGTCTTGTTGAAATCCAGGGTGAAGGTAATGAGAATCCTTACCAGTCTGAACTTGTCTTAGAGTGTTTAGATTTAGAGGTTAGATTCTCTATTGGGTCTCTGTGATGCCAGAGCAAATGGAGAGGTCTAACAGTTAATCCTGCCTAACTCATTCTCTTTAAATCATGTTGCTTTGGGGTGTAAGGTGAAATCTCAGGGTCATTTTGATTTGCACCTCCCTGATGACTAAGGACTTTGAACATTTCTTTAAGTGTTTCTCTGCCATTCTATATTCCTCTACAGAGAATTCTCTGTTTAGCTCTGTACCTCATTTTTTAATTGAATTACTTGATTTGTTCCTTTTTAACTTCTTTAGTTTTTTATATATTCTGTATATTACCCCTCTGTCAGATATAGGGTAAATGAAGATCCTTTCCCAGTCTGTAGGCTGACATTTTGTTCTGACGACAGTGTCCTTTGCTTTACAGTAGCTTTTCAGTTTCATGAGGTCCCACTTATTGATTGTTGATCTCAGAGCCTGTGCTGTTGTTGTTCTGTTCAGGAAGTTGTCAGTGACAATACATGCTGGAGAGGATGTGGAGAAAGGGCAACCCTCCTTTACTGCTGGTGGGAATGTAAACTTATACAACAACTTTGGAAATTAATCTGGCGCTTTCTCAGGCAATTAGTAATAGTGCTTCCTCGAGATCCAGCTATACCACTCCTAAGCATATATCCAAAATATGCTTAAGTACACAACAAGGACATTTGTTCAACCATGTTCGTAGCAGCTTTATTAGTAATAGCCAAAACCTGGAAACAACCCAGATGTCCCTCAACTGAGGAATGGATACAGAAATTGTTGTACATTTATACAATGGAATACTACTCAGCAATTAAAAACAAGGAAATCATGCAATTTGCAGGCAAATGGTGGGATCTAGAAAAGATCATTCTGAGTGAGGTATCCCAGCAGCAGAAAGACACACATGGCATATACTCACTTATAAGTGGATACTAGACCTATAAGAAAGGATAAACATACTAAAATCCATATACCTCAAGAAGCTAAACAAGAAGGAGGATCCTGGGTAAGATGACCAGTCCTTACTTGGAAAGACAAACAGGATGAACATTGGAAGAAAGAGAAAACAAGAAACAGGACAGGAGCCTACCACAGAGGGCCTCTGAAAGACTCTACCCAGGAGGGTATCAAAGCAGTTGCTGAGACTCATAACCAAACTTTGGGCAGAGTACAGGGAATCATATGAAAGAAGGGGGAGTTAGTAAGACCCAGAGAACACAGGAGCTCCACAAGGAGAGCAACAGAACCAAAATATCTGGGTTCAGATGTATTTTTTGAGACTGATACTCCAACCAAGGTACATTCATGGATATAAACTAGAACCCCTGCTCAGATGTAACCCATGGCAACTCAGTATCCAAGTGGGTTCCCTAGTAAGGGGAAGAGGGACTGTCTCTAACATGAACTCAGTGGCTGGCTTTTTGACCACCCTCCTGAGGGAGGAGCAGCCTTGCCAGGCCACAGAGGAAGACACTGCAGCCAGTCCTGATGAGACCTGATAAGCTAGGGTCAGATGGAAGGGGAGGAGGACCTTCCCTTTCAGTGGACTTGGAGAGGGGAGTGGGAGGATATGAGGGAGGAAGAAGGGAATTGAGAGGGAATGAGGCAGGGGGTTACAGCTGGGATACAAAGCAGATAAAATGTAATTAATGTAAAATTTAAAATTTAATTTAAAAAATCATGTTGCTTTTGAGAGAGGATTTAACTTCAGTCTGCCATTATATGTCCCCATTAGTATCCCAGTAGGAAATTAGAATGCTACCTACTTCTACCAGGAAGGTATTACCTTTTACCTTCCCATTGAGATCCACTGATACTACCCCTGCTAGAGTCACAGTGTGGCTGAGCTTCCTTGATCACAAGATCGAAGATTAGTCTTTAAATACAATTGGCAGAGGAGTTGGAGTGCTGTACAACAGTTCCTTGTTGGTAAGGGATTCCTGTCATTTGTGACTAGTATTCAGAAGCACACTTTTACTAAGATGACTAATTTCTGGAGCTTCCATCATGCTGTGCTGACATAACAGAAAGAGTGGAAGTGAGTTGTGGCCCAGACTTAACTGTTTATACTTTGATTTAGTAGACATCTTAAGAAGTATTAATTTACTCTATTTTCTTAGGATAACTTTCAAAGAATTTAAGTGGATGTTTAAAAATCATCTTTACTTATTTTGATTTTGCTGGAAAGCAAATTTGAGAATTTCCCCAAAAGCTTTTCACCCCTAGTCTTCCTGTGTTTTTTATTTTAAATATGATTATACTTTAATAAATATGATCATCTGTTTATGTTTTTAGCTCAATAGTAACTCCTGTAATGACATATGGACATCTGGATAGTATGGAGAACAACTGGAATCTTCACCCACAAGAACAAGGAAGTTTTCTTCATCAGGAAAACAAATACAGTGCTTGGAATAATACATTCATTGATTATGGTGATGAGGTAGGAAGACATTCTCATTAATCTTCCTGTATTACACAAGTATTTTCAGATAAACGAGAGTATAGACTTTCGTTTTGTGGTTAGTTTCCTGTGGCAATATTGAAGAATAGCTTAAAAACATTTTCCTGAATTAGGAAGAGGCATGTTTGAGAAAATGTATATTTTTCCCAAATCATTGAGAAACTCTGAGTATCAACATCATTTTGTTCCTATTTCTCTTTAAAGATTGCCATTTTGTATAACGAAGTGGAAAAAGTGAAACTGGACCAGAAGAGGTAGAACCTTGACTTCTTTGGCTCAAATATTCAAGATACTTTTGTGCTGTTTTTTTTCCCTTGCTGTTTATTGACATTTAATTTGTTACCCAAAATTGCTTTCATCAGCCCTTCTGTTGACTTGTTTTATTCAGGCTGGAACACGAATTGAATTGTATCCTGACACAGCAGAAGGAACTAGAACATCTGTTGATTCCTTTAGAGGAGTTTTTGAAGGAACAGAATGGGCCTTTAAATGTGTTTATAGATAAAGAGTATGAGATAATGTAAGTAACTAAATAAAGATTGAAGAATTGGGCAGAGGAGGGAGAAATTGAATTACAAAGCAGAAAATAAATATTGGTAGAAAAGGGCAAGTTCTTCTAGTTGGTATTTATCAGCTTGTTGGACTGTTCCATGTTTATTTTTAATGGATACTTGGAAATGAAGAAATCATTCTGGTAGCTTTGTTTTATAGCATTTCATTCACTCTTATTAATATCAAGCTCATGTTTGTCTACTATAAACTTTATATTTGTCAAATGTGTTCTTAGATTAGAAATAAAAAGCTTATGTGTGATATCACAGCATTGTGGAATATTTCTGTTCTCATAATGACACATCTTAAACCTAATATTCATACAGTTGTTTTAGTCATACATTTCTTACTATTTCAAAGACAGACTGTTAATATAAGGATGAACTATGGTCTTAAAAAATGGAATGATTTTTTTCAGTGTTTCTGGCTAGGTATGTTTTATTTATGTACTGTTCAGTTTTTACCTTGTATCTGTTCATTGTCAGCGTTTCCATAGTAACTGTCCCTGGACCTGAGATTTGATAATCAGGCCAGTTTAGAAAGCCTAAAGAGATTTTGTGTGAATATACCACATAATCTAAATTGAGACTTAATTGGACTCATTTTATCAGTGGCTTGTTAGTGAATTGAGATGGGTCTTTTATATTTTAGTTTTTTTCTTTCTTGGTTTCTAAGACAGGTTCCTACTGGTTTTCCCAGGTTTATGTCAAACTCCTGGGTTAAAGTGATTCTGTCACTCACATTGTGAGTAGCAGGAAATGCAGGCACACATCATAGTGCCCAGCTGAGCTTTTGCAAGTGCTCTGCCACTGAACTTATTTTTTTTTTGTAAGCCTTGCAAGTTAACATTTTTTTTGTAGGAATTTTAAATGTGGATAAGCACAGCTAATCTGTGCTGACCTCCATTTTATTTCTACTTCTATATTTCAGTCTTTTTTTCTTTCTCTTTTCTTTTTTTCTGATTTCTTTGCTCTATTCTATGGCATTGTTTCTATGAAATGCACACACATACACACAATCACACACACACACACATTTGTTTCCTTGTTTGAGGAAGGGTCTGACTATGTATCCATGGGTGGCTTGGAACTTCCTATATAGACCAAGTTGGCCTAGGACTCTCTACGTAGACAAGGCTGTCTTGAACTCATAGAGATCCATATACCTGTCTCCAGCTCTTGAGTGCTGGGATTGTAGGTATGCTCCACCATGCCTGATATATACTCTATTTTTATTGCTGTTTTTAAGAGAAGGTCTCATCTAGTAGAAACTGTGTAACAGCTAAGGCTGACTGACAAGCTTGACCTTCCTATCTATACTTTGCAAGTGCTGTGATTATAGGTATGAGACACCATGCTCAACTTTTATTCTATAATTTTGTTTTCTTTTTAAAACACATTTTTAGGATAAGCTAACTGTAGATTGGGGAATAAAACATTAGAAGCACCAATTGCTTTCCAATTGTACTTTTGTGGTCAGATTTATATTGCATTAATACTTTCACTGGAATTTTCATCTGTTTAGCCAACCAATATAGTTACCAAGAAATCTAATTGAGTCTTTTAATTTTATAGATAATAGAGTTGAGAAATCATTCGACCAAATCAGTCTTTCTCCGTCCCTCCTCCATTTAGGCCATTGATCCATTTGTCGTAAACTTAGATATATCTACCTTTTATTGTTGAAAAGCTCATTTCTCAAAATACCCTTTGTTATCTGGGCATGGTGGTGCTGGCCTCTAATCACAGCACTTGGGAGGCAGAGGCAGGTGGCTCTCTGTGCTTTTGAGGCCAACCTGGTCTACAAGAGAGTTCCAGGACAACCAGAGCTGTTACACAGAGAAACCTTGTCCCAAAAAAGCAAACAGAAAGAAAGAAAGAAAGAAAGAAAGAAAGAAAGAAAGAAAGAAAGAAAGAAAGAAAGAAAGAAAGAAAGAAAGAAAGAAAAAGGAAGAAAGAAAAAGGAAGAAAGAAAAAGGAAGAAAGAAAAATGGAAAATAATCATTTGTTGCTATATCATGTAAGGTTTTACTATGAAATTTTATGTATTCTCTATCATTGAAGAAATCTCAACCTTTATTGAATATTGCTCAACACTGGTCTTTTATCTATTCAAATGTCCAATGCATTTTTTTGTTTCCCCAAAAGGGTTCCTTTGCAGTAACATTCATCAGAAATTTAGCCAGAGGCTAAATAACCTTTGCCTTTACATTCTTAGGTTCTGGTGGTAATAAGTTTACAAACATTGAATTCATGAGACTATATGTTATTGATTAAAACTAGGAACCAATGTGAATGTAGGGGAACTGAGACAAATCCTGTTGACAATTATATCTCTGTATGTCAGTAACAGAAGTGAGAAAATATTTCTGTCATTTGCCTTTGCAGTTACAAATTAGCAGAGCATATAGATGCTGAGCTGAAAAAAATGTCTCAAGATCTCAGGGACATTATTGTTTACCTGAATTCGCTTGCACGTCCTGCTAACATTGATGAACAGGTATGGTCCCTGCTCTTTTGATTTAGTGTTAAGATTTCATATGAAATTGAAAGATTTCATATGAAATTACCCCTCTATAGGTCTTCTAATTAGTCACATTTGCCTGTCTTCCAGAGTACTCCTTATCTGCTCTCTAGAGATACCAAGCTCTTAGGCATGATTAGTGGGACAGTAAACATTTAATAAATATTTACAGTTGTGAGGTTTTTGTGGTTATTCCCAGAGGGTAAAATAAGTGAGTCTTTCAATGTTATTCAGGATTTACTTTCTGCATAATTAAATGTATCCTGGTACCCTTTTCCCACTTACTAATTTTTCATAACATATAATTATTTGCATACTTGAATAAATATGAGTAGATAGGTCTATTTCTGCTAGACATATTTAGGTACTCTTCAATTTATATCTTTAAAATATAGTGACTTAACTATTAAGACTTAGCATTTTCCTATAGAAACTTTTTGTTAAATATTGTCATCATGTTTCTAACTGCCTCACAGAGTACTATTTAGTTCATAAAGCAAATACATTCTATTATGGGAATGTATGGCTGAGGATCCTGTCAGATTTGAGATTCTGTGAATCAATTTGCCAGTAAGAAAGGAGTGTTTCTCTTTCATTTTTTATACTCTAATTATAAAGAGCTTATTTCCTCTATCTTTTCCTATTGTCCTCTTTCCCCACTCTCACTCAATATAACTAATGCTAAGAGGAATCCCCCATTGTAGGAGCTTCTATTGTGCTTTCTCTCGTTAATTATAAGTAGGAGTGAGGCTAGGATCTGGGTAGATGAGAATGAATAACATATACAGAAGTGGTGATTATTCTCTTTGTCCAGTTGGATGCAGACAGTTCTTTCTGTGCATACATATTATTATCGACTTTTTTAATTACGATAAGATGGCCAGTTATAGTTGAGAAACTCTTAGTACTTTGTTTGTCACATAATCTCCTTGGGTCCCTTTCAGCCATATAATAGTGCTGTTCTCTATGTAGCATCAATATATAATTGAACAGTGACAAATATAAATTAGTCTGGAATTACCAATGCTACCATCTGCCCTGCGTTCCCAAGATGATCATGAGCCCACAAAGCACATTTCTATTAGATTTTGAATGTAATTCCAAAATTAAAAAATGGTTTGTTGTGATAGGTTTCCAATGCATAGATAAATACAAGCAGATAGGCATAGTGCAGAACTGATGTTTAGACCTGGAATGAATTAATATGAGAAGTGTTGTGAACAGAGTTAGTAAAATCCTATCTTTCTCATTTTCTAAATTTGTCCCGTGACTATTTTGTTCTACTAGTTAATAGTCTAGCAAGTAGTTTTGTATTTGTTTTACTAATAAATATTCTTTTGTTTCCATTTTTCCTGGTAAGGATAATTGAGATGTTTAAGATGAGTAAGTTAAGGGTACTTATTGTGTGATAGCAGGATGAAGGAAGAAAGAAATAATCCCTCTTTTCAGATAGCAAAAAAAAAAAAAATCATTGGACAGAAAGCAGGAAAAAACACACCCACTCAATGACAGTGTTCCTACATATTACGATCATCACAAACTCTGTTACTGTGTGCTATATATCATGGAATCACAGTAGAAGCTATGTGTTCCAGCATTCATAGTGCTGGGATTTAATCTTTTATTACTCGTGTGTGTATGTGTGTGTGTGTGTGTGTGTGTGTGTGTGTGTGTGTGTGTGTGTGTGTTGGGGTGAATGGGAGAGACCACATAATACTTATATTTTTATTGAACATATTCTGTTCAGTTATCCAGTTATATTTTTATAAAATCCATAAAAAATTAAAACATCAAATTACCATCTCCTTCCTTCTGTATTGATGTATTTCTTCTAGTCTTTTTACAGTGCTGGCACAAATATGTTCTTCTATTTAAGCAAAATCAGAAACATACCTATATTCATTTTACCTTCAGTTTTCATGTTCCTCTCTGAAAATTTTAAACATTCTTTGACAATGTGTGTTTTAGTGGTGCCCAGATATTTCACTAGAGTTGAGTTTCACATTTTTATTAGTGAAATATTATTTCCAAATTTGATGCAAACTCTAATGTAGCCTTGTAATGACCAGTTATATTTAGATTTGGGTAGGCTCCTGGAAGTAGCATATACTGAGAAAAATTATAGTATAAATATTTTAAAACTATTGATACATGCCATCAAAATTTACATTCAGAAATTTGGGCCAATTTATATTACTTTGAGTGTGTATTAACGTGCTGATTTTTCCTACTTGCAAATTGAGTGTTCCTAATCTGAAATATTGAAATTCTAAATGCTCAAAAATCTAGAACATATTTTAAAGCTGAAATGATACACAAGTGGAAAAGTCCATAATCATGAAATGGGTCATACTCAAAAAACATGGGCATAGCTGGACTTGGAGTGTAGCTCAGTGGTCATAGTCTTGTGTAGCACAGGAGAAACAAATGAGCTAGCAAGCCTACACAAACACAAACCTGCACGTATAATACAAATATTATATAACATTACCTTCAGGCTATATAAACAAGATATGTATAACATATAAATTCCATGTTTAGGCTTGTTTCCCATCTCCGGGATATTTCATTATATATAATGTAATGTTCCAAAAATTTGAAAAGAAAATATGAGACAATTCTGTTCCAAACATTTTAGGTAAGGCATAATCAACCTGTACTTGACTATTGAATGTTATTATTTTTAAAATAATGAATTTGAGGAGCCATGCATGCTGGTACAACACTCGGGATGCTGAGGAATGGCCTAGGGTACATGGTTAACTTCCTGGCCAATCTGAACTACCTAACAATCCACTGTCTTTAAAATTGCTGATTTGATTGACAATTTGATATTCTTAACTTTATGTGATATATTAATTTGGGTTTTTTTGAAGCATCTCTTAATGTCCTTTATTTTTATATTGTGCCTGTCAGGTTTTTTTAATTTATAGGAATCTAATTCCTGACAGTTACAAAATGAATAGACTGAAATAATGCATAAAAGTAATTAGTGTGTAAGTATGAAATGACAAAGCACCATTAATATGTAGTTTTTTGTTAGTGCACCACTTACCAGAACAAAATTAAATGTTGCTTCCTATTTTCAATTTCTTGTGTTTGCTTGTTTGTTTCTTTCTTTTTTCTACATTCTTCCTTTTTTTTGTTTACTACATTACAATGATCATAATCTAAAAGTCTTGGATGTATTTTCAGCTTCAACAGATCTCCAAAATTCTGAATGCTCATATGGAGTCTCTCTACTGGATCAGTCAGAATTCAGGTAGGAGTTTGTTTTGTACATCATGTTGTAGATATGTGCTCTCTATGACCACATTGATTTCAGAGATCAGCTGAAAGTTTGTGCATCTCATGCCCATATGAGCTCTGGAGAAATTCTAAAATTTAACTGGAAATTAATGAAAACAGTGACTGGATCAGAGGTAAGGTACAAATAGAAGCAGACATTTTAAATTTATCATTTGTATGCAGTTTTGATCTTGGTAAAACATAAACATTTCAAATACTCATAATTGGATCCCAAAATGGAAAGAAAGACAAATACTAAAGCCCTCTCCCACGAAAAAATCAGTGCAATTTGTAATATACTAACTCATTGTAGATATCATTGAATGCAACATTCTTTTTTTGAGTGTTTTATGTGTAAGGGTATGCATGTGTATGTGTTTGTGTGTATTTTTGTCACAAGTATGCATTCCTACAAGGACTAGGCAAGTCAATGATGGGTACCTGCCTCTCTGCCTTTTTATTTTTTTTACCAAGTCTTTGAGCCTGAAGCTTAGTGGCAGCAAGTGCTTAACCAACTGAGCTATCTCCAGCATCCCAGAGCACAGTGTTCTTGGTAGTGCGTTCTCATTAGGTGGACAAAAATGCAAATATGAGTAAACTTTCTCAGTGGTTCGGGTTTGGATTTCTTTGTTTTAGGCTTAGAAATACATATCTAGCACCAAGATTTTGGTTTCTACAAAGAATCCCATTATAAGAAAGCGATTCTTCTTGGAGGACATTGATCTCAGGGCTGAAGGAGAGGAGTGCAGGAGGACTGTGGGAGATACAAGAAAGAAAACATTGTTATAATACTAATGATGCTCTATCAGAACATAACATTGCTTTGTGTGACTTCCACTACTATGTTAGGATGCTTTGAACATAATAATAACAGTAATAGATTATAATATTTTAAAGGCAAAACCTCATAAGCTCACAACTATACTTCTAAAGGAGAGTGAGGAATGAGAAGGGGAGGGAAACTTTTGCAGAACTATGCCAACAAATAATTATAGAAGGTGACAAATTTAAGAAACTCTAATTACAAGTTTTCCATGGAATATGTTTACGTTCATCCTGAATACCTTGCCTCGTTTATAAAATCTTTCAACTAATAGTCATTTCTTGGCAGAAAAATATGGTAGCAGGAAATGAACCAAATAAAGACTGCAGGTTAATCTGTTAACTTTATAAAAAGTCTTATTGAGGCACAATTTGCATACCGTGAAACAACATTTTAGTTGTTTAAGTCAATGGAGAAATTACAATTTCGCATTTGTGTTTAGTAGCTGATTCAGGCAAGGACATCAATAAATGGCAAAAGCTATAAAGTTTAAGATGACTGAGGAATGAGATATTTATGTACTAAAATCACTCCATGTATCACTCATGTATTGATTAATAATTACAAAAGAGAAGACAGGCTTTATAAGAGCTATCCGACAGATATCACTTTCATGAAGTAATCAAACTGGACCTGACAAATAATGGATAAGGTGATTAGTATGCCTCATGATTTGACATTCATGATAAGTATATACTTGACTTATGTAAATAGTATTATTATGAAAAATTTTCACCTGAAACTAAGAGCAAAATCATATAATCTGTGTGTATACATCCTGAAATATCATTGTTTTGGACTATTCAAAATAATCATGAAAAGTAAAAACTGAAGGAAATAATCATAGATTAAAAGAGACATGGTGATTAAGTCAGTGTTATTGATTAAATACACTACAAGAACTAAAACAGACATTTTTTTCAAATAATTAAGGAGTTTAAATGGTATATAGACTAAATAAAATGTGTTTACTTTCCTGGGTGCGATGATCATCACTGTGTAAGAAAATATTTTCCTAGAAAATATAGAGGAACTTATGGCAAAAGAATGAACTCATATATAGATGAATGGCATACAAATATATCAGTTTTATACTTCTCTGAACTTTCCTGCAGATAAAAACAATAGGCAGCAGGGCATGGTGGCACATGTCTTTAATCCCAGCACTTGGAGAGGAAGAGGCAGGCAGATCTCTGTGAGTTTGAGGCCAACCTGGTCTACAAAAGCGAGTCCAGGACAGCCAGGGCTACACATAAAAGCCCTATCTCGAGGAAAAGAAAACAAAATAATATTAACAACAACAAAAACAGACAGGAAAGAACATGGGAAGGGGAGTGGAACACAAATTGCTACTCAGCCATAGAGCTTTGGGCTGTTTTTAGCTACTGGGAGAGGAGAGTTACTTTTCTCTAAGAGTGCAGCTCCTGCAAAGTTGACTGTGGTCCGTTGGAAGGCCACTCATTCAAGAATATTTGAATAGTACAAATTGGTCTTGATGGTAATAAAAGGCACTAAGTTGTATGTGTAGGGAAAGGTCTGGGATGAATTGGAGGAGAGAGGATTAATATAATCAAAACATGAATTCTGAAAGAACTAGTAAAAACATTAAAAATAGGTCCAGTCATTTTATAAACTTTTACTAAATGTAGGTAGATGATGGTATATCAGGAAAAAAGAACACAGAATTTAGTTAAGCAACCAATTACAACTTTTCAAGACATAGCCTTAAAATAATACATTTTTTTCTTCCTGTATTCCTATCGACAGCAAATAGAGTGAATCTCTATTGTGTTTTTCTCTTTAGAAATATAGCAATATTATCATTCATTGTTACCTGCTTTTCCCTGTATTAGAGGAAGAAATGCCCTGCCCCTTCCTAAACTGTGTTTAGAATCATTGACAGGAAGTTAAGTTCTATACTGTTTGCACATGAATTTGTTAAAATAGGGAGAAGCATACTGTGGTGGTTTGAATGATAATGGTCTCCATAGGCTGAATTCTTGGACCCCAGTTGGGGGAACTGTTTGGGAAGAATTAGGAGGTGTGGTCTTATTGGAGTAGGTGTGCCTTTGTTGGAGGAGGTGTGTCACTGGGGATGGGATTTGGGGTTTTAAAAGCCCAGGCCATTCCCAGCTAACTAACTCTCTCTGTCTCATGCTTGTAAACTGAGATGTGTGGTCTCAGCTACTATTCCAGTGCCATGCAATGCCTGCTTGCCTGCTGCCATGCTCTCCACCATGATAGTCATATATTTGCAACCATAAGTCTCAAATTAAATGTGTGTATATATATATATATATATATATATATATATATATATATATATATAT